CGAGTTTCTTTAAACATTTGACATTTGGAACGATAAGAAGATACCACGAACGTTTGACGAACTTGAAGCATAGGTGCAATAATCGAATTTAGGTAAAGGTCGGGGAAAATTGTCGGTCGCGTTGGGATCGCGTGCAAGGCTGGTGATCGTCGTCAGCGTTTTCCGACGAGAGATTGGCCCGATATAAAGGCACATCATTCGCACACGGTCATCGCCGCGTGACCTACGTGATGATGTTCTATCCTGTTATTATGATATATTCCTGTAATTACACTGTTATCTATGCATACCGCGAGTGCCGCTTCGTCACGAGTATATAGCCTCATCGTGAAGGAATTCGTCCTTCCGTTGGTTGGCGTCACTTCGACATAGACAGGTCACTTTTTTCCGTTCAACGATACGTCGTGATATCAAAGGAAACTCGCGGTTTTGAATCATCTCGTCAAGATCCGCTGAAACGAGATTTATGATTCACGAAGATGATTTTTTTTATCTGTGCCCGCGTACGTCGTTCTTTTTAATTTTTACGTCCCTCGTTGATCTTCGAATCCCGCCGTCTAGGTTGTTGCACGGGAAGGTATTACGTTTAAGAACAGCAAATACGACGTTAGAAGAATATGGGATAAAAGTGCGCCGGAAGCGTTACGTTATTTCAGGCAGTCACGCTAAGTTATAAGAGATTACCTCGTGATTATGTGATGTGAAATATAGATCACGGAAAATTGTGTTCTTGGAACTTGCCCAACTCGAGATGCTTTTCGATTAACAGCCGACAATTTCTCTTTTATTGTTGCTGTCCCGGAATCTCGGCTATATCGGGGGAGTATCACTCGCGTTATGAAATACTAAATTACATTTTAATGCCCCTTCCGACGCGGCTAGTTAATTTCCTCCGGCGAAATAGTCTCGGAATTCTCACACAGCTCAGACCCCTGGAATTCTACTACTGAATTTACTGAATTTTTTTTCAATCACGACCCGAATAATTTGTCACAGTCTCTCGAGTCCTGTCGGTCTTCCTCCGCATCCAAATCGTGAAGATTTCAAACTCTCGTATTTGCCGATATATATTTATCGTCCTCGTGTGTACGCTCAAAGAGGAGAGACGGGATTCGCTCGAATTGAGATTTTCGCCCGATACCTTTCCTCGTTAGTGCATTAGGAAGGACGCGCACGAATTGGAGCAGATGGAAACGCGATGAGCCGTCCCGGTTTCACGTACGAGAGCCGCGTGGCTTCGATGACGCGGCTCGTGCTCTCCTATCGGTTGATTTTTTGTCCTGTCGTCTCTCATCTTCTACTTCTCTCTCTCTCTCTCTCTCTCTCTCTCTCTCTCTCTGTCTATCTCTTTCTACCTATCTATTTATCTATCTATTGGTGTATCTACTTATCTATAATATTTATCTATCTCTTTCTCTATATCGAGACGCTGTTTACGTCCGTACGTGTGCCGACGCCTCCGCACTCAATGATGACGCCGCTTGCGCAATCGCCGTTTGCGTTTCGCATGATTCACTCTCGTAAAACGTCGGCGGCGTCATCGATGTCGGTTTCTCGAAAACGAGGTCGTACGGCGATTGTCACCGGACGGATCTGTCGATGATTCCCCCGCGGCTGATGCATTCCTAGCGCGATGATCGGCTGGAAATAGCGACGGGCGCTCGTACACAGGGTGTCCGTAATCGACCTGACCTACTTCAAATTCGAAAAGATGTCGGATGGTTCGGGAGCCCCATTCTCTCCCGGTCTGAAAGGAAGTTTTCTCGCCGGGGAGCTTTCCTCGACGAGTCTCCACCGAAAGAGTCGGCCAGCCAGGCTCAGCTTCGTCATTTATTACGATGATTAATGTATTGTATCGCAAGATACGGCGCGTCCCCTCGCGCAAGATTTACGCGGAATTTCGAGAAGGGGACTTGTATAAATTGTGGACTAGAGATATACGCTGCCTTGATGTTCTCGCCGCGTTTAATTCTCAATGAATCGTATTTGCGTCTGAAAAGCGAAATTCGCTAAGCTCTCACGAGTGCTATTGAATTAATCTCTCGATGAATATTCCTCGATATATTTCTCTTGTATTCTTCTTAATTGATATACGAGTGCCGTTTGTATGCATTGAGCTTTGTCGAGAGTAAGCACGGAGAAGGCACTTCGGTATTAATACATGTCCGGGCGTACTCTTCTCGGAAGAAAGAGTACTAATTGTATTTAATATTTCGTCAAGTGGAAGTGAGAAAATAGCTGGCTATAGAGCAACGTGGATAAATTTTAGATATCACTTCTTCTGTCCGTCCCTTTCAGATCGTCGCATCGTTTTTGTTCCAAATCGTAACGCTACATCTCCTTGAATACACTACACCTGATGACATCGCGCTCTTTATTCCAAATCTAAAATTCCAGATCTATCTGAAGTGCTAAATGCATTTTAGTTTTCGGTATCTTAATATCAATAACCCGGCTCGATAACCGGCAGTTATCGATTAGAGAAAAGTGCGACGTTATGATAAGGAGGAAGATGTGGAAAGGACAGCGACGCTAGGAGTGACTCAGAATCCCTCGCTCCGCCGTACCATATCTCTCTCTCTTTCTCTCTCGATTCCACGTATTGTATCTGCATGTTAAGTTAGATTGACTCCGAGAGAACTGAACCGTGAGCCACTCGAATACCCGCGCCGCGGTCTTCGCCGTCTCTCTCTCCCGGTCTCTCTCGCGCGTCTCCTCTTCTCCTTTCTTCGCGATACACACTCGCCGGGGCGTGTATACGCACTCTCTCCGCGTCGCACGCAAATGCGTGCACCAATTGTATTTGCATATTTCAAATTATTTCGAGGAAGAGAAGCTAAGTGGAGCGTCGCCTCTGCGCAATGGAGCGATTCTCCCTCCCCCCCCCCCGGTTTATCTACGCCGTTTCTTTTTTTTCTTTTTTATTTGTTTCTCTCTCTCTCTTTCTCTCTATCTCTATCTCGTTCGCGTAAGTACGCAGATGCACACGGGGCGACCCATCGTGTAATCGATACCACAAATGGAGCCCATCGCATTGCTTCGCGAGAAGCTACCGCGCCGCGCACGCCGCCCACGCGCGAACGCATTTCGAACGAAAGAGCATTCTCGCGCGCCTACGTAATGGACGGCTCTCGAAATCGTACTAGCGTCATTTAAATATTTGCTCGCGCCACACGGGCTTTGCACCGCTTGAATTCTATTTCGCGAAATCTCGGGGCGCGCCCGAGAAGTTTTGCTGCCGCCGGTGAGCTGCTGCTCCCGCCTGCCTAAATGTTTAGGGAAAATTTCGCGCTCCTCGATCGTCGACTCTGTCGACGGCGGCGGCGGGCGGCGGCGGCGGCGGCGCGGCCGCGCGCATTTTCCCGCATTTTATTTGCGTTTTTCGCATCCGCCGCGCGTACCGACGAAAATAAATAAAAATTACGTGACGGCGGGCGGGCCTGTGATGACGAGGGGAGGGGAGGCGCGTTGCATCTCCGGGCGCGAGTTTATATTTGCGAATTTTCACGCTCGACGGCCGAAGTCGTTATGAAGTTGTTTGCACGTCGGGCTCTCGTCAGGCATCTCGGCGCATCACGTCTGCCTTGCGCGTATCGGCGAGAGAAACGATGAGGCGCGATTTGACGAGAGAAACGACAGAGACGTGGAGGAGGAGGAGGAGGAGGAGGAGAAGGAGGAAGAAGGGAGATTACGCGGTATCGGTTCCTTTTCTTTTTTTTCCCTTCGCCCGCGGGATTCGGCGGGATTGCGCGTCAGCGGAAAAAGTTACATTTGGAAATACTCTCGGCGGCGTGATCCCTGAGATGGAAACTCCGCTCGCGCTCGCGTGCGCGGATATAAAGGAAAACTTCCCTCTCGCGCACGAAAAAATAATATGCGTCGCGGTGCCTTTTATGTCGCATCTTATCTAGCGTGTTCAACATATACATTACGTTCTTTTATTGTCGCGAATACGCGAAGAGAGAGAGAGAGAGAGAGAGTGTGTGTGTGTGTGTTTGTGTGTGTGTTTCTGCAAGACGGAGTCGCTTCCTTCGAACGGATGCTGCGTATCCCGCGCAACTTGGAGGATTCGATTTTCCGTCGCTGCTTAGCACCTTCTCGCGTCGCCTTCAACCGCCGCGACATTATATATCGAGCGAAGAAGCGATGGGACGAGATATACAATTACCTCTTTTCTGACCTCGCGAGAGCCTTTAGTTTCTTCACGAAATCAGAATACATCAAACAGCTCTCGGAAAATACATCACGATGGAAGAATGCGGATGCGGTTGTTCCTTGGCACGTGCCGCATAACCGCCGTGAGTTTCATATTAATAGCCGCGAAGCCGCAGGAGGTAGAAATGATCGAAATGTTGGCGCCAACGGAAACAAATCTCTTTATTGCGAACAACGGCACACGGTGTAATCTCATTCCGCAACGGTCGCTTGATAAAACCATCCCGCGCGTCATTTAACGTCGTCGTGGCGACACCACCTCGGCCGCCACGTACCTACTCTCTTGGCTCGGCGAGTATTTGTTTGTAAATTAACACGCGACACTGGGCCAAGTCGCTTGATGCCCGACGTTTCTATACTTGGTGCATGCACACGTACGACGCTGCCGTAACGGAACGGCAGCTGCACGATGTTGATGTCGTTAGTCGGTGTTGATGAGTACGCGGCGTATTTCGCGAGTTTGGAGGGTATAGGTGCAACTTGTTGACGATGTCATCATCCCGAAGCTCGCCGGTCACCGGATTCGTGTAGCAGCAACGGGTCTTCGCCAGCACGCCAGGCGGCGATGTTGACGTGTACAGCTGCGCGTCCGCGAGGTTGACGTAGGTGCAGTTGTTGACGCTAGGGAACACTTTTGCGGCTTCGCAAACGCATTCCCTGAGCTGCGGAAAGTATTCATCAGCGGGGATTTCGTTGCAGCGCCCCCGTCGTTGTACGTTCTCGCGTTGCAGCAGACTTTTGCTGTTTGAATCCCGGTTAAGTATAACACACGTGCAGAGAGAGAGAGAGAGAGAGAGAGAGAGAGAGAGAGAGAGAGAAACTGTACAATATAGTATAATACAGGTGATTACAGAATTCGGAGAATCTCAATCGCGAGACGTGCCCCGAGCGATCGTTATCTCGCGCGTGGAGAGATATCGTCGGTGCATTTCTTTAACGAGGAAGAAAATTGTGTGGGGCCTCGAAAATGTGGAGAGATTAGCCCTGGGGAGGCTGGATAGGATCGCGCGGATCAATAGATGGACGGACAGTTGCAATCGTAGTTGCAGTTGTAGTCGTTGTAGTCGTAGTCGTTGTAGATACATTAGCCCCTTTAATTATGCAGACGCCCCTCAGTGCTGGACCTTTCAAGAATTTAAAAGAACTCCGCTGCTCAATTTGCCGTGCCATTCTTCGCAACCGTCCTGATCTGACGTCTATAATACCTATCTGGATATATACAACAGGCATTTTCTTATTACATATTTACAATATTTACAGTATTTAATACACAATTTCTAATATTATCGAGTATTAAAAATATAGACATACGGAAAATTGCTTATAAGCAAGCATTTTAAAAAATTATTTGGAAATATTATATTAAAATATATAATTAATTTTTTTAATATTAGCTTGTGCGTTGATATTAAAGAAATAGAGATATTCGTGAGTGCGTAACGTGCGTAATATGAGCAGAGAAAAATAAGACGGTGGCGTTCAATGAGGAGAGGCGTTGTATTAAGAGCGGTGAAGCGCAGAAAGAGAGAGAGAGAGAGAGAGAGAGAGAGAGAGAGAGAGAGGCAATCGAAGAATAGCGTATCGAATAACCCGTCTAATAGCTGTTGGTTCAGAGTTCAATCTTACCAAACTGTTCGTATTGACTTGACGGATGCATTCTAGGAACGAGCAGTATATCAACCTAGCACTTCGTCCATAGGGCACCCTGGTCGTATTCTACGGAGAGAATAGAAAAAATCAGGACGCGACGAATTGTAAAAATTTGCGGAGAATTACGATATGTATATATTATATAAAATATATACGTATCATAATTATTCTCATTAAGTTATTTCATAATTCTTTGTAAGTTTTTACAATTGTATCTTATATATCTGTTAAATTTCTTTTTCTCTGTTATATACATATATATAGAAAGAACGATTTCGCTGGAAGATCTAAAAATTTTGCTGATTTACAGATCTGCAAATAATTCTTGTCGGACCATCAAAATAATTTGGTTGAAAAGTAAAAAATGTTAAGCACTGCTATATAAAATTTTGATATTTTAGCAATCAGTTTGACTTTCCAACAAAATTTTTTAGATCTTCCAGCCAATTCGTTCTTTCCGTGTATCGGAGAATAAGATGAATGAACGATCGTTTCATGCACGTACTCGCAAATAGGCCTGACAATGACCGTAGGCGGTGTTGTTGAGATAAGTGTCGGCGCATCCGGATATGTTCACTAGCATGGGGAAACCCTGCGGTAAGACGCTGGCGCGATAGAAGCAACCGTAACAAGCGTCGCGTCGCGTAGTGTTGCCCTGCGATCGATTGCACACCTGATTCAGCAAATCGGGTATTTTCACTCTGAAAAAAGGGAGGTTCACGTCGTGAGGCACACAGCGCGAGATGGACGACGAAAATATACTTTCTCTTTTCCTTTCGCGCGTTTTACGGATAGCAATATGAACAATCGGGATGTGTACTGTCTAACGTTTGCGCCGTAGGTCCCAAAGAAATTTCCCAGGTTCTCCTGCAACAGGGAATCGACGCGGCTCACGCTGGAGACCGAAAGGAGTATTAAAATCACGAGCACCGCTCTCGTCATCGTTGCACTGTCGACTGTTTGACGTTTTTCCCTACGAATCCGCATCCGGTACTTTTATAGCCGATGTGTGAATCTGATAAAATAAGCCAGGGATGTATTTGCGCTCGTTCGTTGGAGAAAGTAAAAGTACATTTCAAATTCGTTTCGTTATATTCGTTTTAAAATAATTTTATGAAAGAGTCTCTAGCGAAATCTGCCGTAAAAAGATCAAGAATCTGTTTACATCAATTAACGCTGAATCCAAAACGCTGAACGCTTAATAGCTGGTGCAAGTTTTGTTTCTTTTATCTATGTTCCAAAACGTTTTTCGAAGAAAATTTTATTAAAAACGCTACAGTTTACGTTACGTAGCCTAGCTTATGATTTAGAGTGCGGTTTGGTAATTCCAAGTTTGATAGCGCAATTTATTGCACGATTTCATCGACCTCGTTTAGCTTTAACTCATAACTCCACTTTACCTGTTTCTCCCCTTCAATTTGTTCAAAAAAAAAAAAAAAAAGAAAGTACGAGTCTGATCGCGACGTAAGGTTGTAAAGTTAAAGTTAATCGACGTTGAAACGAGTCTTCAATCTGACTGCTTCTCCATTTTACTTTTTTTTTCTTCATTCATGACCGATCACTTTGCGGCCCTGATGGGTTGCGCTGAAGTTGCAGCCAAAGCGTAACGATTCCCATTACTCGCGACCTCGCACACGAGGTCGTGACACGTGGTTGATCGCCGTTGTCCCGTGAAAATGGACCGTGAATAGGATATATCTGGGACAGCTAGTGAATCCCACGGACCGCGCGCGCGGCCACGCCGATGCAATTGTTACGTATACGAACGAAAATATGGCCGGTTGCATTATCGCTAAATCGCGGAATGCATTCAGCGATTCGTCCAGTCATCGCTGCGTTTTTTTTTTTCAACACGCGATATGGCGTGCGCGGACGTTTCGCAGTTTTGTTTATTTTCCGGCCCGAGGAGCGCTCGCGCGCGCAGGCCAAAAAAAATCAGCCTTTTCCCAACGATTGTTTCCCGCCGGAAGTGGGGAAGCTCATGTCGGCCACGGTCAAAAATATACACGACGGAATAACATTGTTGCAGTTCTTCGCGTCGCGTTGCGTAACGGACGGTAATCTTTCTTAATTAACCGGTTCATTCAATATTTTTTTTCATACCGGTTTCAAAGGTTGAACACCGTGAATCGGAAGCGTTTCACGCTACCTGTCTCTCTTTCCCTTTCTCGTCGACTCTCTTTCCCACAGTCGGAAATGCGTCCACACGATCCACGTGTGGTGAACTTTTTCTGATACGGCATCTAATATCGTCGTCAGACGTAAAAACCCACCCGGGGACGCAATTGTTGATATCTCACGCGCGTGTTCCCGCCGCGCTGTCGCGCGGGACAAAAGAGGCGCGAAAGTTTCTCCATTCCATTGCTATCTAGGGAGCTTTTAATTAGATACCACCGAGCGTGCCATTTGGGAAGGATGTCAGGAAATCAGCGCGTTGGCCGCGACGAAAATGAATAGGCAAACGGCGCTCCCGGTCGGGAGCCGCGCTCTCTAATTTCGGGACCACGTGCAGGAAAAGTGGGCCATATCGTGTGTGCGAGAGACGACACACGCGTTCTCGTTGGGCTATTTGTGCGCCAGACAGACGGCGGGGTGGGAACGGCGGGATGAAGGCTGAAAATGCGCAAAGAGAGGTGCAGGGGAGGACTAAGAGGGCGGGATGGATGGATGGAGTGGGACGTTATATACGTACGGTGGAAGGCGCGCGGTGCAACCCCACCGGACAGAATTAGAATGACTCACGGGATTATTTAGGTTTATGTAATCCGAGAAATTCGGCGCGCGGAGCGACCGTCGCGACGCCGCGGGTGACGTCTTCCCTCGGTGTCACTGCGTCACATCTCCGCACGTCCAACACCACCGTCCCGGAGAGCCCGAAGGAGAGGAGTTCACGTACGGTATCATGTTGCATCTTTGGTACTTGCACGAAACCGCGACCTTTCGCGATCGCGCTCGGAATAGATTCGGCGATAGTCATCGCGCCGCCACGCCGGCATGCAGGATAAGACGACGGCGACGGGATGCGCTAAAAGCATCTCGCGAAATCTCGTAATATTGGTTTCGTAGTCCCTCCCCCCCTCCTCTCTCCCTTCGTAATTTGGTTAGAGTGGAAATTTCAGTTTCATCGTTATAACGCGTCCCGCGATGTTTCGGGGACGCGGATAGGGAGGAAATTGCCAACGAGCCAATCCACGATACGTCATCATATAATTATTGACGGGAGAGACACACCATGGTATCGGATAACACACGCGCCCGCGCAAAATCGAGCGAATTCGAAATCGTTATTTTATATCGCTGATCGACCGCGGTGTCGAGTGCGCGGTCGGCGCGCTTAAAAAAAACGAGTGCGAAGCGCGCGGCGAAAGCGCGTGTCGTAAAAATATCTCACTCGCATTCGCGGTTTTCCGTTTAGCCTGCACGTTCTACCGCTGTTCGAAAGTGTCCGCGAAATGCAGCTTCGAAGACGCGCACAACGCCCTCCTGTGTGTTCTCAGCACACCTCCCCTCTGCCCGTATCCGATTCTCCCCCGCCGCCGAAACTCGATCAAAGCGAGCCTCGAGGATTCGGGTTGCCGCGCGCGTAACGCCGGCATCGACACGACGCCTCGCTCCGTAATTGCTCCTCGGGTCCTCCGACGGAATCTAATTACCGACGGTGTCTCAAAGAAATGCACGCGTCGTAACGCGCGCCCACGCGACAGCTGCATTCCCTGCGCGCATCTCCTCCTCCTCCCCTCCTCCCGATCTCTTCGCACGGTCTTTGAGCCCTTTACCGAGGTACCAATTAAAACGGGGACGCGTCTTTGACGATCGCGCCGCGATGACAGGTGCATCGGTCAAATATCTGTCCCGTGGTTTACGACGCGTCTAATTCAGTAAGACTGATTTATCGTAGAGCGCGCGGCAGCTCGATCCGTCGTCGTCGGGTGCGTCCACGTGCGCTCTATATCTCGGCGGCTTTCGCGTGAAAACCCGCGCGTTGCGCACTTTTTTTTTTTTTTTTTTGGCGCGCGCAAACAAATAAAGGAAAAGAAGCAGGAAGAGAATTAGACCGAAGTTTACGGCACGCGTTACGGCACGAACGAAAGATTAATTTCCCGGTGCTGAGGTTGTTCGAGAGCGAAGGGGACGCCACCGGGGGTGTCATCTCCACTGGATACTTTCCAATTACCAGGGACGAGAGTTCGCAACTTCGTTGATCCGTCAGCAATCTCTGTTGGGCGTTCCTCGTCCGCCGAATTAGGATGCGTATACGCGCCCGTGATTATGGAAGGTTAAAATTCGTTTTGCTTTTTACCGCGCGCTCCTTCCTCCCCGCAACCGCGGGCGAGCCGGCGCGGTTCGCTTTCGCCGGCGACGTGACGAGAGAGGGACGTCTCAATTATTTTTCCTCCCCCCCCCCCTCCCTCCACGGGCCTTTCTCCTCTCGGGGATCCTTTCTGGCCGTCTGATAAGTGCATTAGTTGAACCCGGAAATTGGTCGACACCCCGTGGCGTGTGCGCGCATTAACCCCACCATTTGGTTCCCGTCGTTTCAGAAGCGCGAGAAGCCGAAAAGAAAGAAAGAAAATAAGAAAGAAACAAGAGAACCGCGCGCGCGCGAGGAAGGAGGAGGGAAGATGACGACGTTATATACGCGGAGACGAGGGAAAAAGGTGATCCCACGTGTGAGCCCTGCACATCAACTGATTTTAACCTACATACACCGGGCGCTTCCGTTCGCCCTCGTGGAATGCTTTTAGCTGCATGGAGCGCACAATGCCGAGTGCTTTGTGTCGAATCGCTGAAAGAAAACAAGCCCCCCGACCGGCCTTTAACGTCGCCGATTCTCTCCTCTTCCATCTTCGCGATTAAATTGCCTCCGAATCGATGTAAATCTATATCGTTTCTTTTTGCCGCGCGGATTTGGAATGTATATATAAAGTCTGACGCTCGAATATTTGCAATTTCAGATTCCCGGTCTCTGGAGTGCCAATTCTTTGCCGCCTTTTTGACGTAAGTATTATAAATATAAATATCACGTTCTTCTTTGCTCGTGCATTTTTTTTTTGCGTGCGCGCGCGGTTCCTTCATTTTTCTCGAGATATCTCCGTGTCCGTGAAGGGCCATTTCAAACAGTCGCTGGGCATTCGCCGCCATATAATTCCCCTCGTCATTCTTTAACGTAAGCCCGGCGAAGGAAGGAGAGCTGTAAGCCGCCGTTCAGGTGTGTTCTCGAACCCGCCGAACGTCGAGAATCGACGACCCGAACTTCGTTGGATGGCCCGGCTATGCCCGGATAAATGCGTGCATGTAATGCGGCGATCAAGGCGAATCGTTTTCCCGTAATACAACCGCATATTCGTCACCGTCGCGACCTGTGGCATATCTACCGTCGCACGCGTTCACATACATTTTTTTCGGCCGCGTGCACCCTAATTCCGCGGTGCTCCCCGGGCAAGCAAACGGGGGCGATCTCGTTTTACGCGGCACGGGTCGTTGGGTTTTCGAAAGAGATCAGCGGCGCGCCCGGCCCCGTCTATATATAAGTATTATAAGAAATTGACGGTGTAACGTACGCGGTGATAAAAATCAGTTGGCCACGCAAAGGGTGCTCCCGCGATCGGCCCCAAGAGCGTAATTCGAAAGCGCGATTTACGTCGTTATTCCTGACGGATGTGTGCATCGGAGATTTCTTGCAGTAAACCACTCTGAGTACCGCAAGTATATATATATATAGAAATCTCGCGTTCTCATCTAGAATAATTGTGAATTATTGCAATCTTTATCGCGCACTCGCGATTTTTCTTTTTTTACCTGAAACTCCGCTCCGCGAGGAGACGCCGCTTTTATTGATATTGCGAAAAAGCATTACGCATGACGAGAATGCCCCAGTGGGCCGCCGGAATTTTTAACGAACGACATAAATTATATCGTTTCTTTATGCGTTATACGCATCCGTT